GATGTGGTCTGGTTCCAGTATATAAGAAGCAACTTAGGAAGGTCTCTTCATGGCATGCTTGAACCCTGCACGTAGCTGGGTTGTTGTTCAGCAGCATGCCGTGTTGCCCTGGTGATCTTGGGACTTTTTCAGGATGTGAATCAATGGCTTGCTGTGTGGTTTGGTACTATTGGGACTGTGCCATTTTATTTGTTGACCTTGGGTTAGTCAGCCTCAGCAGCCAGCAGTTGCCTGAGTGGAGAAAGCCTCCAGCTTCAGTGGGCTGGGAGCAAGAGGCAGAGCTGAAGCCCAAGGTTGAGGGGCTTTCACCCAGCCCCTAAAGTCTGGCACCTGGAACTCAGACTTCTAGCATCCAAAACTGTAAAAGAATAAATTCCTGTTTGTTAAAACCATTCCTTTTGTGATATATTTCTGTCAGAATGGCACTAGACAACCAAAACACTTGAAGACATTGATTCTCCCCTTTCCTCTCTCCCATCCATTTTGTGTTCATTTTATAGGGTTAAAACAATTTTGGTAGCACGGTACCTAAGGCTTTTGACTGCTAACTACAAGATTGGTGGTTCAAACCCACCAGCCACTCTGCAGAAGGAAGATGGGGCAATCTACTTCCGCAGAGACTGACTACCTCAGAAAACCAATGGGGGTCACTATGAATCAGAATCAACTTGATGGCAGTGAGTTTGATTTTGGTTTATAGGAAAGGAAGAAAAGGCCAAAATGGATGTCAGAAGAGACATTGAAACTTGCTCTTCGATGTAGAGTAGTTAAGAATGGAAGAAATGATGAAGTAAAGATCAGAACAGATTTTTAAAGGACGGCTCAAGAAGACAAAGCAAAGTATTATAACAAAATGTGCAAAGATACAGAGGTAGAAAGCCAAAAGGGAAGAACATGCTCAGCATTTCTCAAACTGAAAGAACTGAAGAAAAAATTCAAGCATTGAGTTACAATATTGAAAGATTCTATGGGCAAAACATAAAAAAAACAAAGAAGAATTGATGCCTTTGAATTGTGGTTTTGGCAAAGAATACTGAAAACACCATGGACTTCCAGAAAAATGAATACATATATCCCGGAAGAAGTGCAGCTGGAATGCTTTTTAGAAGCAAGAATGGCCAGGTGTTGTCTCACCTACTTGGGCCATGTGGTCAGAAGTGACCAGTCCCTAGAGAAGAATATCATGCATAGTAAGGTGGAGGGTCAGAGAAAAAGGGCAAGACCCTCAAGGAGATGAATTGACACAGTGGCTGCAATGATGGACTCAAGCATAGCAAGGATTGTGAGGATGGTGCCGGATAGGGCAATATTTCATTCTGTTGTACATAGGGTCACTACGAGTTGGAATCAACTTCACACCTAATAACAGCAATAACAACATGGGAAAAATATTGAATGATGCAGGAAGCATCAAAAGAAGATGGATAGAATACACACAATCATTGTATCAAAAAGAATTGGTCGATGTTCAACCATTTCAGAAGGTAGCATATGATCAAGAACCAATGGTATGAAAGGGAGAAGTCCAAACTACACTGAAGGAAGTGGTGAAAACCAGGCTCCAGGAAGTGATAGAATACCTATTGAGATGTTTCAACAAATAGATACAACACTGGAAATACTCAATCATTCTTGTCAAGAAATTTGGAAGACAAGTATGTGGCTGACTGGAAGAGAACCATTATTTGTGGCCATTGCAAAGAAAGGTGATACAATAAAATGTGGAAATTATCAAACAATACCATTAATATCACACACAAATAAAATTTCTCTGAAAATAATTCAAAATGGTTGCAGCAATACATCAATAGGGAACCGCAAGAAATTCAAGCCAGATTCAGAAGACGATGTGAAATAAGAATATCATTGATAATGTCAGATAGATCTTGACTGAAAGCAGAGAATACCAGAAAGATGTTTATCTGTCTCTTATTTATTATGCAAAGGCATTTGACTGTGTGGATTATAACAAAATATAGATAATATTGTGAAGAATAGGAATCCCGAACACTTAATTGTGCTCATGAGGAACCTGTACATAGACCAAGAGTCAGTCGTTCCAACAGAATAAAGGGATATTGTGTCATTTAATGGAGCTCTGGTGGCATAGTGCCTAAGGCATTTGACCACTAACCAGAAGGCTCAGTAAAGGTGTTATCAGGGCTGTAATCTTTCACTGTACTTAGTCAATCTGTATCCTCAGCAAATAATCTGAGAAGCTGGACTATATGAGGAAGAATGTGGCATCAGGTTTGGAGGAAGACTCGTTAACAACCTGTGATATGCAAATGACACAACCTTGCTTGCTCAAGGTGAAGAGGACTTGAAGCCTGTGATCAAAGACTGTGGTTATGGGTTAGAGATTACACCTCAACATAAAGAATTTCATTGCTTTCATCCTTTCCTTATTTATTTCCTCAATAGTAAACTTCAGTTCTTATCAGAATTCACTTTTTCTTAACCAGGGATAGCTCTAACAAATTAATTATAGGTATTAAGTTTTTTCATAAAGAATCATTCAATTATAATAGTGAAAGCAAATATATACACATATTTGGCAAAAATTATTTGCTAATTGTTTTAGGGGGTGTTTTCCCTAAAAGCTTTATTTTTTAAAAGCTTCATTTTATAGAATTTGTCAAGTTTATAGAAGCATGACAAAATCCTGTTTTCCATACTTAAAATCTGGCTGATTATCATTCTATCCACACGATTTTGTGTGTTAGTCTTATTACTTAACAAATATTTTTCCATGGCATTAAAAATTTTGATAAGAACATTTATTCCAAATTGAGTTAGAATACCACAGAGGACACTGACACAAATTCAGAGCTCCAGAAGGAGGATTGACGGCTTTCCCCTGTACATATACTGTGCTTTGTGGTATTAATCACTTCAAGGGTATGATGTGAAAATTTGGTTTTAAAATGAAACTTATTTTAAATAAGAGTTATGTTAAGATACATTTTGGGTTGGCTTTGGCTAAATAAATTTTTTGATTATCATTCATTTTGAAAATACAGAGTTTAGTGCTAGTGAGATAAATCCTGACATATTCTTGGTTGAAGAGATAGAATAATGGCGGTTCCGAAGATTGAAAGCATGAAGCAAGCGTGAATCCTTAAGGTGACACATCTTTTATGCCCAAATGTCAGACCGTGTTTTTATTCCTGAAAGTCATATTCAGAGAAAATGATCTAACTAAAATCAAATGTGAGAACTTCACTTTTTAAACAGCTTTCTCATGATTTTTGGAGGAATGGGAAAGTATCGAGGGTTTTGTCCTGCCTTTTTGGGTGTAGGACCCGTATATCTAATTGATAAGAGCATTAAGTATTGAAATGACCCTTGGCCACTCTTAGGTTGGCCAATACTGCTAGGGATATAAACGGGACCACAAATCCAAGCCTTCATAAATGACCTCGTCCAGCACCAATATACTACTTCCTTATGACTCAGACCTTCTCTTCCTCAAGAGCTGGATCCTCAACTCTCTAAGATCAACTTCTTAGGGTACCAGTAGGATCGTATCTGCTTCTGACCATTTCACTGGGAGGAAAGGGAATGTACCACCTCCATTAGCCTTGTGGATGTTGAAGCACTGAAAATCCCCAGATGTGAAGTGAGCAACTCAGAAATTAACCAGGAGCACCAACTGCCAGTGACTGTGGTAGGTAAAAAGGGAGAAGCAGCTGAAGGGGTAAAAGGAAGGCATTTACTTTTGGTGTTGGATAAAGAAATGTTGTACATCTTTCGCTTTCAAAGGGAAAAGCGAGAGCCTCCCCAGATTGAGGATCCCATTTGACAACGTAAACAAGTGGGCACTAGGCTTAGGGTCAGGTTTAGACCCACAAGCTCAATGGGTCACTTTGTGAGTAAGCCAGTAAGCCTGGCTGCCGTGGCCTCAAATACGAGTGAGTGAGAAATGTGCGGGGAAGGGTGGGGGCGGGATGACGCTACCCGTTCGAGCCCTGATTGGCTGCTGGCACGGGTCGCCTGGTGCCATTTGTTGTTGGAGCCTACGCACCTACGCAGTGTACGTCCAGCGCGTGCAGCCGTTTAAGCGGCGTCTGGAACTGCTTGGACGAGGGAGAGCAAGTCGCCAAAAGGTGAGTGGAGTGGGTATCCTTCTCCCAGTCCAGGACCTTTTTCCTGGTCTAATAGGCTTTGTAGCTGGACTTAAAATCAGAGGAAGAAAGGATGGAGTGGACGGGGAGAGAGGCTGTTAGTCGCTTCTGTCCCGAGGGTCTTAAAGACCTGTAGGTACCCACAGTCTGGGCTCCAGGCCTGCGGAGGAGGCCAACGAGCCTTTTGCTCTGTCCTTGCACGGTTTTTCTTCAGTGGGTTGGAGTACAATTTTTTTGTTCAAAAGCTCCTAGGCGAAACTCATTATCTATTGTTGGAGAGATTCGGGTGGTATAACTCTCTCCCCTTTACCACCAAATCCTGAAGCCTGACTCTAATATCCTCTCCCCTCTGCCAGACTGTAAGGCCTCCACTACTTCTCCTTAACTACCCCACCCAGCCACCCACTCAACATACAACAAAACCCCCAGAAGCAAAACCAAGCATACTATCTACCTTTGAAGGGAGGTGTATGAAGGGAGAAACACGGAGTAGGATCTAAAAATTTCCCCACTCCTTTTAATAGCCAATAAGTCATTTGAGACCTTTGGAGGACGGCGATGTATTCTAGGAATAGATTTTTGGGAAAAGCCTAAGCGTCAATGCGGAGGTGGTGATTGCTTGAGGGATTTAGTGGTTCAACTAATTTTTTTTTTTAGACAAAAAGGATGGATGTAAACACCGCCTGCTAGGTAAGTAGCAAGACCTAGTGCACCGTTTGTATGTGTGTAACAGTTGAGGATGATCATTATCTGAGTAATTTCAAGAGGTATATGTGAAACAATGATAATTTGTATTTTCAAAGGTAAGATTCTGATCTAATTGAGGCCAAATATGCATGTTTCTATTTTTAAAAACTAGAACTCTAAGCCATCATGGGAGATGAAGATTGGGAAGCAGACATAATCAAACCTCATATGTCTTCCTGTGTTCCTGTATTTGAGAAGGTAACAAAACTTAAAGTTTGTAATTACTAAATGCTAGTTACTATCAAAGTTCAGAATCACTGTGATGGGAATGTTTTAAATTTTTCAGTCTGTTTCAGGAGGCTATACGTATTCCCAGGTGATTATTATTAACTATTTTATAGGGATTGAGAAAGAGGCATGCTGAGCCTCAAATAGGATAAAGTAGTCTGAGGTGCTTTGATAATTAAGAACTACAATACAGGTAATAACATTATTTAAAGCTCAATGATTTAATTCTAATTTAAATAATTTAAATCTCAATTATTTAAAAGTTACAAGTGAAAGACAAGCTTGTGCAAATATGGTTGAATGTCTCTGAGATTCTTATATGGAAAATTAAAAACTAATTTGGTTCTGGGTGACATTTTGAATTCTGAAAATTGGTCATATGCAAGGAGAGTTCTCAAGACAAATATGTTAGGCTGATTGATATGGTAGCATCAGTTTGATCTTTAAATGTGCAGATCATCAGATCTTTTTTCTTATTGGCCTTTGGAGAATTACAGTGAACTAGCACTGGTGGTGTAGTGGTTCGAGCATTCAGCTGCTACCGAAAGGTCTGTGGTGTGAACCTACCAGCTGCTCAGTAGGAGAAAGACGAGTCAATCTGCTTCTGTAAAAGATTTGCAGCCTTAAAAACCATATGAGAGTCACTAAGAGTCAGAATCAACCTGAGGCAGTGGTTTTGGTTTTTTGGTTTATAACCAAAGGTGGGGGGGTTTGAGTAGGTTTTTGGATTTCAGTCTAACTTGGAAATTGACTTAATATTTTTTCTTTAATAAGTAATGTATGTTAGCAGATAATGAATTTTAAGGGATTGCCTTTTTTGTAAATGTTACCTACTTGAAAATATCTCCAAAATTGATTTTTTTCTTTTTTTTAGTTCAGAATTTCTACTTTGAGGGTATGGCAGGCAGTTCTTTTTTTTGATTGCAAGTGATGGCCTTAGTTGTTTTTATTTCACATAAAAGCATAAATTATGTAATCCTCTGTTAAAATTGCATTTGATCTATATGTAGAGTTTTTATTAAATACCAAAGTTATATAGTTGCAATGACAAGGTATGTCAGTACTTTTTTTTTTTTAATCCAGCTCTCTTTTCACTCTTGGCACTAACTCTTTTATCTCACTAACTTCCTAAAAAATAATTTCTTATATTTCATGGAAAGGCTGTGCCATAATATTTTAATATTTACTTTGGGTGGGTATTAGATAGTTAGCTTTTTACCATAATACTGTAATGAATATCTACAGCTTATTTTTTGTTTTAATTTAGGAATTTTTTTCCAAAGTAGAATTAGTCAAAGGACATCTTATGCTTGTTTTTTTCTGTTTCTTAAGAGATTTATTATAATACAAAACTTAATTCACAGAGGTAGACTTCTTCCACCTGGACTTTATCATCTGTCTAATTTTTATTTTTTTAAGTATATTTTGTCTTGAAGTGTTCTTTAAATAACACAGTGCACTGTAACATGTTGTGCATATATCTTGCATTTATTGCATTGGGTGTTTGAAATTGAGGATGGCTGAATGTCAAATCTTTTAAATTTACTTTTTTAGAATATTAATGCTATTCAGCAACCAACTTTGTTCCTGGAAACTGGGAATGCTAACTTATGTTGAAAATTCCATTCATGATTCTTCATATATATCTGTGTGGGGCAATTTGTAGTAAATTTTTTGCAATTGCCTACACACTTGACACCTGGTGCTGGCTGTGCAATTAGTAGTTTGCCTTAATTAACTTGAATATGGTACAGTCAAGGCTTTGCTTCCCTTCCCTGATTGAGTAAAGGTGCAGAGACTAAGAATGAATAAATGACATTTTTATGTAGGAGAATTCAGGAGTCTTTTTGCAGTATAGTTTCTTTTAAAGGCTGTTGTTGTCGTCCTCCCCTCATAGTGACCAGTAGATTGCCCAGCCTTCTTTCTGAGGAGTCTTCTGGTTAGCAGTCAAGTGCCTTAGGCACTAGGCTACCAGAGATCTTTTTTTAAAGGCACCATGCATTTATTTGTTTGGCTTTCTAACTAAATTTGCATTTCAAGAAAAAGCTGGGCTTTCTTTTTGTTAAACTTATAGTAGCTCAGAGACAGTCTTGGATTGGTATTCATCTTATACAATATGTGACAGTCTTTTCTGAGCTCTTGTTAAGATCTATACTTAGATTTTGAACTGGTAAGGCACTGTTAAGAGCTCTCTGGTGCTATGGTTAAAGCATTGGGCTGCTAACCAAAAGGTCAGTCGTTGGAATCCATCAACTGCTCCATGAGAGAAACATGAGGCACTCTGCTTCTGTAAAGATTTGCAGCCTTGGAAACCTTATGGATCAGTTCTACTCTGTTCTGTGGTGTCACTATGTTGTTGTTGTGTTGTTGTTAAGTGCCGTCGAGTTGTTTCCGACTCATAGTGACCCCATGCACAGCAGAACGAAACACTGCCCGATCCTGCGCCAGCCCCACAATCCCTGCTATACTTGAGCCCATCATCGCAGCCAC